CAAGAGTTTGAGCTCTGAGCAACAGCGGTTCGAGTCAGCCCGAGCTGAGCAGCCGTGAGCTGCCAACAGGTGGCGGGATGGCTCAGCTAAAAAAAATAAAAAATAAAATAAAATAAAATAAAATAAAAAGCTTCCAGCTCTTCACTGAGTTTTTATTCTTTGAAATCTCACACATCATGGAGTGCTGCTTGATATAGTGGGTAACAAGGAAGGAGAGGAAAGATTTTTCTTACAAAGAATTGATGGTCTTAAAATGGAAATACTTCTTTCATTTCTATAGCATTTCTCTCATTTCTCCAATATGCTCTGGACCCTACCATTAGAGAACAGTAAGACTTTAAGTGATCATAGTTAAAACATAGAAAGAATTTTCACATTTTCATGATGTTATTAAATTTGAGGAAGTGGTTATGTATAGTAAGAATTCTGATTACCAAATCATAGAATAAATATTTTGCGATCACAGAATCATATGTGAACTTCTTATGAATTGACTATAGATCCCCAGTTCTGTCCATCATACCTGTCTTCCTGTGTACATATGTGTGATGTTTTAGGACTCAGTGGCCTTTGAAGATGTGGCTGTAAACTTCACTCTGGAGGAGTGGGCCTTACTGGATCCTTCACAGAAGAAACTCTACAGAGATGTGATGCGGGAAACCTTCAAGAACCTGGCCTCGATAGGTAAAGATGATGACGTTTCTTCATTTAGTCACTTAGAGAAGAAGTGTTTATTGTCTGTCAGTGTTTTTCTCTGATTTGGAATGGGGAATGGGAACACTTTGGTAAATAAACCGGCATGGTCAGAGCTCATCATAGACCAGTAATGTAATAATTCTTCTGTGATTTTTTTTTCTGGGTCTGCATTTTAGGGAGAAAATGGGAAGACCATAACATTGAAGATCAGTACAAAAAACATAGAAGAAACCTAAGGTGAGTTACACTCACAACAAAAAGCAGTGCCCTACAATGGAATCTTCATATGTCATGAAAATTTTAAAACAAGCAGACAGAAAATAATCCAGCTTCAAATTTATTTAATTTTGGAAAGATTTTACCAAAAAATGTTTCCTTAATTATGACATAGTTGTTCAGTGTTTTCAAAATAATTCACCTGGAAACATTATTCAGAAACTCTATATACTGTTGGGTTGGCGGAAAAGTCATGACGTATTTTTTTCTGTGTTTTTCATTGCAAAAATGTGTCATGACTTTTCCAACAACCCAGTAATATCACTACTTTGATAATAGCTATGGTCGAACCTTATTTCAGAGCATTCAGTGAATTGGGTTTCAAACAATTCAGAAAACCTACTTTCCCTATAAATCATAAGTACATATATTCTAATGTTTAATCATTAATCACTCCTGATTTTTTACAGAAGTCATATGGTCAAGAGACTCTGTGAAAATAAAGAGGGTAATCAATGTGGAGAAAACTTCAGCCATATCCCAATTGTTAATCTGAACAAGAAAACTTCTACTAAAGTAAAACCGTGGGAGTGCAATGTGTGTGGAAAAGTCTTCATGAGTCGTTCATCTCTTAATAGACACATGAGATCTCACACTGCGCCCAAACCACACAAGTATCAGGAATATGGAAAGAAGCTTTATAAATGTAAGCTATGTGGGAAAGCTTTCAGTTATCTCCAACCTTTTCAAAAACATGAAAGAAATCACAGTGTAGAGAAATCCTATAAATGTAAGGAATGTGGGAAATCCTTTAGGTATCGCCAGTCTGTTCGCAAACATGAACGGACTCACACTGGAGAGAAACCCTATCAATGTAAACAATGTGGGAAAGCCTTTAGATATCATCAAACCTTCCAAACACATGAAAGAACTCACACAGGAGAGAAACCCTATGAATGTAAGCAATGTGGTAAAGCCCTCAGTTGTCCCAGTTCCTATCGAAGTCATGAAAGGACTCATACTGGAGAAAAACCCTATGAATGTAAAAAGTGTAATAAAGCCTTCAGTTGTCCCAGTTCTCTTCGAAAACATGAAAGAACTCATACTGGAGAGAAACCCTATGACTGCAAGGAATGTGGGAAAGCTTTCATTTCTCTTGGAAGCTTTCAAAGACACATGATAACACATACTGGAGATGGACCTTATAAATGTAAGGAATGTGGGAAAGCATTCAATTGCCCGAGTTCATATCGAATACATGAAAGATCTCACACTGGAGAAAAACCCTATGAATGTAAACAATGTGGTAGGGCCTTCAGTTGTTCCAGTTCCTTTCGAACACATGAAAGAACTCACACTGGAGAGAAACCCTATCAATGTAAAGAATGTGGAAAAGCCTTCCATTGGCTCACCACTTTTCAAGTCCATGTGAGAACTCACACTGGAGAGAAACCCTATATATGTAAGCAATGTGGTAAAGCCCTCAGTTGTCCCACTTCCTTTCGAAGACATGAAAAGACTCACACTGCAGAGAAACCCTATGAATGTAAACAGTGTGGGAAAACCTTCAGTTCTGCTCTAGGTTTGCAAATACATGAAAGAACTCATACCGGCGAGAAACCCTATAAATGTGAGGAATGTGGGAAAGCATTTGTATCTCTCACAAGCTTTCGAAGACACATGATGACGCACACTGGAGATGGACCTTATAAATGTAAGGAATGTGGGAAAGCATTCAACTGTCCCAGTTCATTTCGAATACATGAAAGAACTCACACAGGAGAGAAACCCTATGAATGTAAAATATGTGGTAAAGCCTTCAGTTGTTCCAGTTATGTCCAAGTACATGAAAGAACTCACACTGGAGAGAAACCCTATGAATGTAAGGAATGTGGGAAAGCCTTCATTTATCGCACAACCTTTCGAGGTCACATGAGAGTGCACACTGGAGAGAAACCATATAAATGTGAAGAATGTGGGAAAGCCTTTAGTCGGCCCAGTTCATTTAGAAGCCATGAAAGAATTCACACTGGAGAGAAACTTCTTCAGTGTAAGCATTGTGGAAAGGCCTTCAATTGGCCCACATCTTTACATAAGCATGTCATGAGAATGCACACTGGATAAATTGTAACTGATTAATACAGGAAAGTTTTCAGTCTTAACAAATATACTCAAAGTTATGTGAAAACTCCATTGGAGAGAAAGGGCCATAAATATAAGTAATATGGGGAAAGGCTGATGCAAATTAATTCATATAATACTCCAAAAACTGCACAACATGAAAGAAATGTTTTTAAAGTTAAAAATACATTGTTTTTATCAATGGGTCATTCTGAAACTCAGTCTCTGGACTATAGATTCTGCTTGTTACTTTTGCAAATGAACGTTGAGTTGAGACAATTCTGTAAGTACTCTAAGCAATAGTACATAAGCTTTTAGTAGGTAGTGTTTTTCCTTAAACAGCTTATAAAATTTTTGTCTTTCCATTTTGAAGTCTGTTGGATCCATGGGTAAGTTGAAATGTAATATACCAATAGGGTTAATTTTTATATAAATTTTTAATTATATAAGTTAAGGGGAATAATGACTGGTATTTGTTGGGATTTTTCTATTTGCTTCGTGTGGCAGGTACTGGATATTTCTTACCCCTTATAAATATTCTTCCTTTCTTATGAGAAAAACTTTCTTTTTCTTTCATCAGAAGAGACTTTTTAAATTTTCCTTACTAATAGATGGTTGGCATAAATTTGTAAGTATGAAAAGTTCATCATAAAGTATAATCTTTGAATTACTATTTACATCTTTTCCCTTTACTCTTTGCTATTCCCTCGGACTGTGATTTGGGTAATAGACTTTACACTAAGAAAAGCAACCTGTACTGACATCAACTTCAAACTTACAAAGCAGCCATAAAATATTTAATTATTTTAGATTTAAATTCAACATCTACAATAACTGCACCAAAGCAACATTTTCCCCCCATCAATCCATTAAATGTCTCCTAGAGTACTCTGATGTCACCATCTAAGGTATCTTTTACCCATAATACAATTAGAATGATTATATATCATATAATGATATCATCATTAAAGTCCACCAGTAGTATTACCATCCCTCTGTTGAGCAAGTATTATGTGCCCAGGCTGGACACTAGAAATATAACCGTGAACATAACTAAAGTGGTCACTGCTCTCACAGTGCTTCAAGTCTGAGATTAATCACATTTCTGGCTATTTTCCTAAGTGTTAACACACACTGATTCAGTTGTGTAATAACATTATCTTTGGTAGCCCATTAAGCCTTTATATTTGCAAAACAGAAAAGAGACCTGTGATAGGACAATCAAATGTAAAATTGAAGATGGCTCTCCTGGAATATGTTATGGCAACATGGGTAATGTTATGACCTAACATTTTCCAGAACGTTTTCTGTTCTTTTTGTGGTCCCATGTTAGAATTCATTAATAGCCTCACTTGTGTGAGATTTGGAAAGGCAGAAATAAAGAAGGCCTTAGTTTTTGAACCACAGTACACAGACAGATGCATAGATGTTTCATGTGTACTTGCTTCCAACCCATTGTCCTGATTCATTGCCCTGCCAGTCAAGAGTGTCCTCAGTATCACCACCAGCTACATGACTTCCATTTTCTCAGAGCTGTAGGTTTCCACAGATGCCTCCACAAGTCCCACAGCAAAAATCTGTCACAGTTTGGATTTTCCTGCAAGCCTCATGTGTCCACCAGGCAGCAAATTTGGACTGTCATGTTTCAGAATGATCTCTGAAGCACTGAAGCCCCTCTTGTCTAGATTATATTTGTATGTAGTCTAATTTGTAAACACTTTGTTCTGTTAATATTGCTAGTGACCATGTGTTCCTGATTTCACTATGACATCTACAGTGGTGCTGTCCAAAAGAACCATGTTGGAGTTGTTCCTCTGCTGCACTGAGCAGTGACTGCTCTGACCCAGTCCTTCCATGTGAGAATTGGCACCTTCCTCCTATCAGGCAAATTGTGAATATTTCTGATTACTCACAGCTGAACATAACTCCTCAGTACATTTTCAATTATGTTTGCATGTGATTTAAAAGTGTTCATTTTTTTTTGTCAAACCCTTCTGTAGATGTTTCATATAAATGTTTTATTAACTGTTTCAAACAGTTTGTGTACTAACATGTTTTCCACTTCCTGATAGGATATATATATTAAGACATCCCATTGCAGTTGTGGATTTTTAGATCAATTTTGTGATTTTTGTCAAGTAATCATTATACATTTTGAATCAGTGTTACCATGTGGTATTTTTCCCTCGGGCAAGTTTTTTATTCTCCTATAGTTAAAATGTTTGTCAATAAACTAACCTGTCATTCATTCTTAATTAAAAACTTACATCATGGTTTTCTTGCTGCCTTCTTGCCAAAACTACCAGGATCACACCTGTACTCAAAGAGAGGGGTGTAATGAATTAACGTGATAAGGATGACCACAAACTGTAAATGATAATGGATTGTAACAGTAAGCGGGTGCCCGAAAGGTCTTAATCAATTTGGGCTTGTGTTAAGTGATTGGTATTCAAGGAAGGAAAATATTCCTATGTATTGGATACTGTGAGAGAATGTACTAAGTTCTGTCTTTGGTAATCATAATAGTTCTTACCTAAACGTGGAAGTATTTCCTGTGGCATATGGGACATTGTTTTCTATATAAAGTACCTCAGTTAAAATATATAGTCACTTGCACTTGAGCAAACTTCATATCAACTGAGGCCTTTGGGTTCAGGTAAAATTGTCAGGGAACACAAGTCTAGCAAGGGAGAAAGATAGGGTCCCTATTCCATTTGAGCCTTTCTTGCTCAGAAACTGCTCTTGATGCTATTTTTTCAGCATTCCTCCTCTACCAGACACTGTAGACTCAAAATATCCACAGTTTTTGTACAGCCATTATGGAAAACACTATGGATAGTTTCTCAAAAAAACTAAAATAGAACTACCATGTGATCCAACCATCCTACTTCTGGTATTTATCCGAAGAAAAGGAAAACACTAATTCAAAACGATATGTGTACCCCATTGCAGCATTATTTACAATAGCCAAGATATGGAAATAACTTAGGCATCCATTATAGATGAATGGATAAAGAGGAAGTGGTGTATATAGATATAGACACAATGGAATATACTCAGCAATAAAAAAGAAATCTTGACATTTGCAACAACGTGAATAGACCTGTAGGGTATTATGCTTCATGAAATAAGTCAAAGAAATACAAATGCCATATGGTTTCATTTACATGTGTAAAAAAATCAGACTCATAGAAACAGATCAAACTGATGGTTGCTAGAAGGGAGTGGGTGGGAGGATGGGTGGAAAAGGTGAAGGAGAATATAGTCAGTAATATTGTAATAAGTTCGCATGGTGATACATGATTAGTAGACTTAGTGTAGTGATCAAATCGTAAGGTATATATATCCAATCATTATATTGTGCCTCTGAAACTAATACAATATTGTATATAAACAGTTTTGGTTTATAAGATGGAAATAAGGACTTTGAAGGAGAGGAAACAGTGATGTGAGGTAATAGGGAAGCTGGTGTGTGTGTGTCTCTTTGGAGGGTTGGGGCCTCAGTGAGTTATTTCCACCATCTAATACATCTTAAACACTGAGAAACTGCCTAGGTGCAGATATGAACAGTGGGAACAATACAGACAGTGTTGCTTTCCCGTGATTAACAGTAATGGTTCCAGGGGCTGCCAGTTGGCTCAGGTGGTTAGAGCGCAGGCTCTTAACACCAAGGTTGCCGGTTCGATTCCCACATGGGCCAGTGAGCTGTGCCTTCCACAACTAGAATGAAGACAACGACTTGATTTGGAGCTCAGCTGCACCCTCCACAACTAGATTGAAAACAATTACTTGACTTAGAGCTGATAGGTCCTGGGGGGAAAAAATGTTCCCTAATAAAATTTAAAAATAAAATTATTTTAGAAAACAGTAAGGGCCAGGACCGGCCGAGTGGCGCATTGGTTAAGAGCTGGCTTGGGACGCCCACTCTGAGCAGCAGGGCCCCGGTTTGAATCTCATATGAGGACCAGTGACACTGCCCTCTACAGCTAGGTGGTGAGCAGTAGCTCGACCTGGAGCTGGGCTGCCATGAGTCACCGGCGACGGCGTAGGCTGCAGCCCCTGCTGCAGTGGGCTGCCATAAGCTACCATGTGTGGCCGGCAGCCGGTGTGAGCTGCCAAGAGCCACTGTGAGTGGCTGTCCAGAGGCCGGCGACCGATCTGCCTCATCCGGGAAGAACGCGATGATAATACCAACATGGGCCAGTGAAGCGACGTCCTCCACAACTAGACTGAAGAACAAAAGGACAGCAACTTGTCTGTTCCCCTTCCCCCGATTCCCCAATAAAATCTTTTAAAAAAAACCAAAAAACAGTAGGAGCCAGCCAAGTGGCTCAGTTGGTTAAGAGCTTGATTAAGAGTGTGAGCTCTGAGCAACGGGGTCGCCAGTTCGATTCCCACATGGGCCAGTGAGCTGCGCTCAAGCTGAGCTGTGGCTGAGCTGCCAATAGGTGGCAGGATGGCTCAGCTGGTGAGAGTGCATGCTCCTAACAACAAGGTTGCCGGTTAGACTCCCATATGGGATGGTGGGCTACACCCACCCGCAACTAAGATTGAACACGGCACCTTGAGCTGAGCTGCCTTGAGCTGCTGACAGGCAGCCGGATGGTGACTGGACTTGGGAGCTGAGCTAGCTGCATCCTTCACATCTAAGATTGAAAGAATAATTTGGCTGTTCCCCTTCCCCAATTCCTCAACACTTCCCCTTCCCCAATTCCCCAATAAAATCTTTTTTAAAAAAATGGGGCCAACCAAGTGGCATGTTGGGTAAGAGTTGGCTTGGGATGCCAGCTCTGAGCAGCAGAGCCCCGGCTTGGATCTCACATTAGGGCCAGTGACGCTGCGCCCTCTACAGCTAAGATGGTGAACAACAGCTCCACCTGGAGCTGGGCTGCTGTGAGGTGACGGCGACGGCATGGGCTGCAGCCCCTGCTGCAGTGAGCTGCCATAAGCTACCGTGTATGGCTGGCAGCCAGCATGAGTTGCCAAGAGCTGCCATGAGCAGCCGTCCAGTGGCCAGTGACTAATCTACCTCACCCGGGAAGAGTGCAATGATAATATCAACATGGGCCAGTGAAGCAATGTCCTCCACAACAAGACTGAAGAACAAAAGGACAGCAACTTGTCTGTTTCCCTTCCCCAATTCCCCAATAAAATCTTTTTTTTTTAATGTCTTTGGGGAGTGATGGAGTGTCTTCCATCTTTTGATGGTAGTATTAGTAAAAACTCACAACTACATTTAGCATTAGTATGTGTATACATAAAAAATAATAGAACACAGGGCTGGCCGAGTGGCGCATTTGTTAAGAGTTGGCTTGGGACGCCAGCTCTGAGCAGCAGGCCCTGTTTTGGATCCCACATGAGGGCCAGTGACACTGCCCTCTATAGCTAAGATGATGAACAACAGCTCGACCTGGAGCTGGGCTGCCGTGAGTCGCTGGCGACATCGTAGGCTGCAGCCCCCACTGCAGTGGGCTGCCATAAGATACTGTGTCTGGCTGGCAGCCAGTGTGAGCGGCCGGCAGCCGGTGTGAGCTGCCAAGAGCCGCCGTGAGCGGCCGTCCAGAGGCCAGCGACCAATCTGCCTCACCCAGGAAGAGCGAAATAATAATACCAACGTGGGCCAGTGAAGCGACGTCCTCCACAACTAGACGGAAGAACAAAACGACAGCAACTTGTCTGTTCCCCTCCCCCAATTCCCCAATAAAACCTTTAAAATAATAATAATAATAGAAAACAGAAACATTTTCATAGCCTAGGAGAGTGTTAAACTTGTGAACTTTGATTTTCACATGTGCAACACTTCACCACTTTGGGATTCTTCTTATGAAGAATTGAAGGACGGGAGAAGAAGTCCCCAACAGGCTTTTTTGTGACTGCATCTTAATTGAGGACACACCCTCTAGGGCCGCACCTGCTCTCTACCTATCCACACAACTGGAAAGAAGTGAGAAGGCTCCCAGAATCTGTCTTTGACTTTAAGTTGTTTTCCTCAGTCAGATCTTTGGGAATGCTGGGAAATGAGACAGAAAGGTGTATCCCACAACTCTCCCCAAGTGGGATTTGCCTGGAGACATCCTAATTCATGGACATCAGCATCATGTCTTTCTGGGGCCATCTTGAAACCATTTCCAGCTCTAGTTTCCCATCTGAAGCCTACTCTTGTGCCTGCTGGGTGGGAAGCATCTTTAGAAATCCACACCTGTCCCACTCAAAAACCACAGCAATGCCAGGTGGCTGTGATCTGAGCAGAAGAAACAGCAGCAGGTCTCATGTCTCTGGGCACACAGTCCTCAGCATCATCAGTCCCCACTATCACAATTATCAGCTCCATGTACTCACAAATAAACAACAAAATCAACCCACTTCGGATGGGGTAACAAATGACTCTAGAATCTATTCACATAATAGTCACTCCATTAGTGTAGCCCCCTCTCAGGCCTCTCAAGAGTCTTAAACCACCCGTGATGGCCATAAATGCCCAGGGGATTGTGGTGCAACAGACTATGCTCCTCAGCCCGCTGCTGCACCTAGAGCAGCCATTGTTGGCCACAGACTTGCTCATCTGGAGATGGAGGCTCTCACAGGCCCTGAGCTGAAGACATTTTTGTAGCTGGCTTCCCATTTCACCTTCAGTCATGGAGACAGCACCCTTCAGGCTTGCTTCACCACAGAGTCCTCCTCATTGAAAAGATAATACCCTCAGGACAAAGTGAAACATGGACCTTCTGGCATATTCCACCAACAAGGGGAAGTGTTTTCCCTGTCATCAGTTCAATGCAATGGTTCTGAAGAAGGTCACCCATTTTCTAGACTCATCGGCCCCTTAAGGAGGAAGCTTCTAGGGATCACCTGAGTGACCAGGAGAATTTATATACAATATGCTGTAAGTACTCCTGATCGAGTCCACTGGAGAGCTGCTGCTTTCTATCCCTGTTCAAAAATGACACCCAAGCATACTTATATCAGAGAAAATAGACTTTAAAACAAAGACTATAACAAAAGATAAAGAAGGACCCAGCAATTCCACTTCTGCGTATTTATCAAAAGAAAACAAAAACAGTAATTCGAAAAGATATATGCAAAGTTTTGGGTGTACAAAACAATGTAATAGTTAGACATTTACACCCCACACAAAGTGATAACCCCCTTCCCCCAATCTACTATCCCTCTGACATTGTATATAGCTGTTACAATTCCATTGACTCCATGCCCTACGCTGTACTCCACATCCCGTGACTGTGTGTGTATGTGTGTATACACATATATA